GAGATGAAGTCCATAAGTGATAAAAGAGCCAAGTTTCCCTACCCCTGCCTTAGAGCACTATTTCAAGACATGTTAAAAAAACAACCCACATTTCATTTAGAACCTGGAATGGTCACACTGTAATCTAGGGTCACCATATACCTTCTCTATTTCTTATTCCAGGTTTACATTTCCAGCAAGTCTACATCTTTTCTTCTTTCAATTCTTCTACAATTCTACACTTTTCTTCTTTCTGTACAACCAACATTCAGAATGATCTATATCAGTATAATTTCTATGTAAAGCATTTTGGTCCATGAGGCTATCAAAAACTAGAAAAACATTTTGGTAGCATGTGTTTGACGTAACTTTCTAGGTAGAACTTGGTAATCTAGGCAACCAATACTGGTAGGATATAAACGAAAACCAACAAAATTACAAATTCAGTATGACCAGTCCAAGACACTGTAGAGCCCTTTCCTTAGTCTGTTTGAATGCCTTTAATGTGATATTATAGCAAAGTTAAAATAATAGACTTTTTGCAGAGTTAACTTGCCCCCAAGAGTTGTAGGAAAGTGATAATCTAGCCTACATGTCCCTTCAATGTTTTTTCTGTATCAGTCTGTCTGTGCCCTCCTAACTTTACTTTTTCACAGGATTACCTTAAAATCCCCAGAATACTCACATTTTTTTCAGCTGCTATTGCTCTAGACAGAAAAATATATTCCTATGTTAATCAATTACTTTTAAGTATTTAGATTATTAGTATTTTTCTAATATTTATTAGAAATATTTAGTACTGTGAAGAATTTAATAGTCTGAATATTTTATTTACTGTTATTTTTATTACTCTTATCAAACCTGTATGAATTTTAACATGGATCCTATACTTCTTATAAGCCGTATAAAAGTGATAGTCAGTGACCATAAGAAAGATCCTCTAACAACCCTAGGAGATAGATTGGGTAGAAACTGCTGGGCAGTCACCCCATGAACCTCTGCGAACATTGCTTCCAACACCTAAACTACTCCCCATGTAATAAACAAAGTTTCAGTATAAATAAATGTCAGTCGAGAAAGAGAGCTAGTGTGAGTAAGGTGTTGGATTAGAATCATCGACACCTACTTGGATCAGTCATATGTAGTCAGTCCAATTTATCAGGATTATTCGTTATGAAAGAAGCATTTCTGTGTGTGTACTGACCAAATCCCTTAAAGAAAATTAGAATTGCACAGAAACAAGTAAATAGATCAGTAGTTTTGCCACAATCAGGTTTTTTAAATATTTCAATAAAGTTTTTTATATAAATTGTAATATTTTTGTGATCATTGCAGATCTTTTCATGTTACCTTAACATGGAATTTAAAATGAATTATATGATATCAAGTTTTGAAATAATTAATTTGGATTCTAAAATCAATTAGATTACTTATGCAAACTATTGCTCATTTCTTTTTGGAGGGTAAGTAAACGTTCCTGAACAATGTGGGTTGAGACATATGGAGAATAGGGAATTAACATTACACACTATTCAGGAGATCATCCCAACCTTTCTGAGTGACTTTTGCTGGAGTGTATCTGGTTCCAGAAGAGAAGAGCAGACAGGAAACCATATATCTTTAAGTAAAATTATCAAAGGAACCATTTATTTTATGCAGAATAAATATTCCCCTCCCCCCCCCTAATTTAAAGTAATATATTTCTAACTTCTGTACTGTGAGAAAATTTCTGGACAAAAAGTTTAGGAAATAAATACACAAGCAAAAATCAATGGAATCCAAAAGACTTTTTTGAGCAGGTAGTATATTCTCTTGGAAGAGTCATATTGCCACTTTCCCAAGTCATTATCTCCAGGTCCATCTAATTTTTCTTCAAACCTTCAATATTATGTACCCTTTCTATCTGTATCAGGTGCTCTCTTTTTCTACCATCTCTTCTTCTAGTTTTGTTTGTTGTTTCTTTATGTGGAAAAAATCAGGCTCTGAGAGTAACTAGTTAATCTCCAAACAATTAATAAATATTTATTATTAATTTGTCAAATTTCTAAGGCCACCCAACATCATCAAAATTCTGGGCAACTTATGACAGAACAAGAAACAATATAACAAAGAAAAGAACAATGCATGCCTAGAAAATTAAAAAAAAAATATTCAGATGAATATGTCCAAGCATGCAAAAGTCTTGCATCTCGCTCCAACTCAATTGTTGGGGAAAACCCAAGTTTTAAAGACCTTTTCAATACAGTCACAGTATGGGCTGTACCATTCTTTGGGTTGATGCTGTTCTAGGGGCAGGCACCATGACAGAGAAAGTCTACTTCCTGGGTCCAATCAAATGATATTATTTCCATGTCTTGGTGTAAATTCCCATGGATGAAACATCAACTAATATTGTAGACCAGTGGTCTCCAACCTTTCTGGCTTGGTGGCCCAGCCCGGGAGAGGGGAGAGGGGATGGTTCTGTATGAGTGGCAGGAAATGGAACTTTGTATGTGAGCGCCCATCACTCACGCAACCTAGTTCCGAATGGGCCAAGGCCCAGTAGTGGACCATAGCCTGGGGATTGGAACCTTTGTTGTAGACAGTTAACCAAAAAACTAGCTTATAAAAGAAAGGCCAATCATCAGTTAAATTAGCTGTTTTTTTTAAAGTGAAAGTTACTTTATCTTGAAATTGAAATATATCATATTAAATAAATGCCACCAGTATGTCACATTTTGTATTTTTTGCTATTAAAGATGAAAATTAAAATAATTTTCTTATTTGTTTGTTTTAGGAAACATAAACACAACTGCTTTTGCCTCCATGAAGTTGTAAGTGGTTTCAGGCAACCTGTTGGAGCAGTACATTCTGGGGATGGATCACACCGTCTTTTCATCCTTGAGAAGGAAGGATATGTGAAAATATTGACACCTGAAGGAGATATAGTTAAAGAACCATTTCTGAACATACACAAAGTTGTTCAAAGTGGAATAAAGGTTGGAATTCCTTTTATTTACCATTAGGAACTTCATTTCTTTTAAGTCTAATTTTGTGTTAAATTTTGTACTATTTCCAATTTTGTTTAATTTTAACTAGAAAGTAAATAATAAAACAGATCATAAATCTGTTAAAATGAGGTTTTCATTTAAGTTAGTAGAAACAAATGGCTTCAGCCTAATGTGCATTAATCATGATTAAGATCCAACCATAGTTTGAACTCAGCTACTCAGTCAACAGTTACTGAGCAGACTTTCCAAGTAAAGTATTCAATTTTCTTTGAGTGTACAGCTATAAATTTGATATAGTTATGCAGTTTAGAACCAGATCATTTTCCTTCTCAATTAAAATGGCTGCTCTTTATAAATTATTTCTATGATATAGATTCACCTTGCCTGTTATCAAATGCTGTTATATACAGAAGGAGGAGCTCTCACTGCATCAACTATTTAAAAGGATAAGTCTTCGCTTATATTAAAATCAAATTCGCCACTATAATTTACATACTGAAACAGTCCTTTTCCTCCTTAATTTTGATTGTATGTGTCACAACATATTCCTTTAGAAAAAACCTATTTTTGTTTTCAAAATTAAGATCTTTACCTATGAAATTGGAAACCTTCATTAAAATAAATGGAATGTTTTTTATTAAATGATGTTAACTGAAAACAGAATAGCTAAGTGACCCTATTTTACTTCAGTATATGTATTAACAATGGAATGGTTTAGTGACTAAAGAAAATTCATGAAAAGATATGTGCTGTGTTAGGGTTAACATAAAGCAATTGTATATTTTATAATTCTCGGATTATTTTTACATGATTGCATCAAAAAGGTATTACCTGAAAGTACTATCACATATATTAGCTATTTAAAGTCTAGATCTGTTTAAAACAGCATGGTATTAAAATACTGAGATTAAAATTGAGATAAAAATCTGTATTCAGATTAGTAACTTCAGTCTCATCTTATTTATATACCTGTTTATTAATCTGAGTCAAGAGCTGGCATTTTAGTATATTATAAATTGTATGTTCCTTAAGCTTGATTCCCTGACTTTGTTTTTAATAAAAGGTTTATGAATGTGATTGTTTTGAATGATCATCATTAGGTTTTTGTGATTAAACTTGAAATGTCATTTAATTGTAGGCTACTTTGTTAAAAGTAATTATGAAAGAATATAGAAGTTGATAAGATCTATGAAAACAATTTGTTATAAGACTAGTTAACCTTTCCGCCTTAGGCAGTTTGAATAGTCAAATACTGAAAAAAATACATGCCATGGAAACTGACAAAGTGATTGTATCATAATCATATTGTCACATAAAGTATCCTCCAGATGCATTGGATTACAACTGTCCTAATGTCCAGGTAGCATTGCTAGTGACAAGCCATGCCACTTGGAATTATGGGGAAATAATCATAGCTTCCTCCCATCTGGTGGGAGGAAGCTATGATATTGTATTGAAATCAACCATTTAAAAATGATAATAGTATTTTAATCATAATGAAAGCATAAATCATCCAAGGAGAATTAGAGAGAACCTCCATGAAAGGGAAAACATATGTCAGGGAAATGAGTGATACAGAAGAGAGACTGTTAAGAATATATGGGCTAGACTCCTTGACCTCAGCCACCTTAAGCACCGCTCCAAGCTATGAATTGTTTTTACATGTCGGAATGGCTTAAATTTTAATAGAAAATTTCCCTAAATCTTGAGCTACATCTGCTTCTTTGTTTCTTTCTACAGCTGAATGCCACAGTGAAGTCAGTTACACAAAGTGACTTCGATCTTTTTTTTAACAAGCCAACATAATATTTCTATATAATTCTTTGTTCTTCTGAATAGTTTGCCACAATTTATTTATTGTAGTTTATTGATAAAAGCAAAAAAAATCACCAATATATTAAAGACATTTTTTTCTCTTTGTCCTTGTAAATTACATATATCTATACATTGGGTATATCTACAGTTCCAGATTAAATCAGTAAAATATGTTTATTAAAGTGACAATATTGCACTTCAATAAATATTTTTAATAAAGAAAATGTAATTTTTTTTTCATTTACTCACATTTCATACATACAGCACTATCTTAATTTTATTGCTGACTGAATGAATCTAGTAATCATTAGACAAGATACTAGCTATATTAGTATCTTGTATATAATAATAATTAGACAAGATAAAGCTATACTAGCTTTAATATCTCTAAAACATTCCATATAATGGGCTTCTCTCAGGTATCATTGATAGGTCCTATCATGTGTGCACATTCTATTACATGTTTAAAATGTGCACCCGCCCTTGAACTGTGTATTTGTCACACAGGCATACACTAAGTATTTATAAATGGATCCCAGAAGAATCAATTATCATGCCTGAAATGGAAATATGCAATAAAAAATTAATAGAAAGTCAATCCTTTCTTCCCTACTAGGTCATAATAAAAGTCATTTCCCCTTTCTAGTGATGGCTTTCAATAATGTAATAACGTAGCTACTTATTATCTCCAATAGAAACTTCATACATGCTTCTTGTATGGAAGATCATGTATGCAGAGTCCATGGTTAATTTGTGTCATATTTCTGTTCTTCTCTTAAGATTTTGTTATCAGATCATTCTAAGACGATCAAAACTTCCTAAGAACAACTCCATAACTATCATTTAGTACAGTGCTAAGTATGATTAGCCTAAGTATGATTATCCTATGGTATCTCTGGACAACTGAATAACTGGATAGAAGCATTCCTGGCAAACAGACAACAAATGGTCAAAATTGGGAGCGTCCTATCAAATTCTGTACCTGTCAATAGTGGTGTCCCCCAAGGCAGTGTTCTAGGACCAACTCTCTTCATACTCTACATAAATGACCTCTGTGATCATATTAAGAGCAATTGCGTTCTTTTCGCTGATGATGTAAAGCTGTTCAATACCACAGACAATACTGCTACCCTACAAAAAGATCTTGACTATGTATCAGAATGGTCAAACAAATGGCAACTTCAAATCTCAACAAATAAATGCTCTGTCTTACATATTGGCAAAAAAAATCAGAAAATAAAATACAAGGTGAATAGTCAAGATCTTGTTGATGACCCAAGCTCTGTAAAGGACCTTGGAATACTCACCTCTAATGATCTAAGTGCTAGAGCCCACTGCAACTACATAGCCAAAAAGGCATTAAGAGTTGTTAACCTAATCCTACGTAGCTTTTTCTCTGGTAATATCACACTACTAACCAGAGCATACAAAACATTTGCTAGACCAATACTCGAATACAGTTCATCAGTCTGGAACCCACATTACGTATCTGATATTAGCACAATTGAGAAAGTCCAGAAATATTTCACAAGAAGAGTTCTCCACTCCTCTACTCATTGTAGAATACCTTATGCCACCAGACTTGAAATTCTAGAACTAGAAAACCTTGAATTACGCCGTCTTCGGTCTGATTTAAGCATGGTATATAAAATCATACATTGCAATGTCCTACCTGTCAATGAATACTTCAGCTTCAACCATAACAACACAAGAGCACACAATAGATACAAACTCAAAGTTAACCGCACCAAACTTGATTGCAGGAAATACGACTTCAGCAATAGAGTGGTCAATGTCTGGAATACTCTACCCGACTCTGTAGTTTCTTCCCCAAACCCCAAAAACTTTAACCTTAGACTGTCTACTATTGACCTCACCCCTTTCCTAAGAGGTCTGTAGGGGGCGTGCATAAGCGCACCAACGTGCCTACCGTCCCTGTCCTATTGTTTCTCTTATTCTTCTTTTATTTTTCTTATATGTACCCATTTCATGTATTCACAACTATGTATACACTTATACTTATTATCTTGTAAACAATTGGCAAATCAAATAAATAAATAAAATAAATTGAAACAGAAGACATTAAATACACAAGTGACTTTCTAAAGTCACAGTACCTGTAAATTCTGGAAGTAATTAGAATTGTTTAGGGAACCAACAGCAGTTCAAAGTTGAAACTTCACAATGTTATAAGTATTTAGCTTTTTTTTTTTTTAAGGCGGCCTTTTAAATACTTGAATTATTCTTTTTTTTTAACAATGTAGGAATTTGTGACTCTTTTATATTTTAAAACAAAGGGATGCCTTGCCATCTTCTCTAATTGATCGTCTAAGATCTTGAGACAACAGACTTAAGCACTGGGTGAAGTAACTAAGTAACTTACATAATATGCATTTTAAAAAAATATATGGAAAAATAGGATCCCAGACAGGACAAACTATTGTGTCAGTAGTTTTCTTATCACCAAGACAGAGTTTACTGCATTTCTATATTATACATATGATCCAAAGCTGATCTGTTCAGACAACAATGCAAAATATAGCATAGATATTAAGTGTTTTACAATTCATAGTCTCATCTAAACCAAAATTAAAATAGCAATTACAAAAAAATAGAATTGCAGGTATACTTTAAGCTACTTACTTGTTGAGCATTTCATCCCTTGAATTTGATAAAATTCATATTCTGTTCACAAATACAATAATTGCTGAAAGAATGTGCATATACAAAATAAGGAGTAACATGTATCAAGTTATGTCTATTTTCTGAATTCAGTTACCGGTAATCAGTATGACAGTATATCATATTGCATTGTTCCTTTCTTACCGACTTTTAGAAAATGACTGAATTTTTTAATCATCCATTTTCTTTTTTCTTTTTTTTAAACAGACTTTATTCAGTTTTTCACATTAAAAACAAAAATCTCTTTTTAGTGGACAACATATTTCCGGGTCATCATCTTTACATACGAATATGACAGAAATTATACATTGATATATGCATACTTAATTCTATTATTACCTTTTCCATTCCAAATTTTCAGTAAGGAGATAAACAAACACATTAATTCTAGCCTCTTTCATTAATCTCAATCAATTTTGTTTCATTTCAATTATTTCAAATATAATCCTTTAGTATTTGTTTTTAAACATAAAGATAAACAATATGTATTT